ACACACATATCCTTCAGATCATGGTGTATGTTGTCTTTGATATTTTTAGACTATTCTATGCATGCTTATGATGGAACCCATTCCTGTCATCTTGCCATATGTAATCCTACCATGTTTAGTATCTATGAATTCGCCTTCTGATGATCGAAACGAGTGTGTATATTATATGTTGGTACAGAGGCAATATATTAGTGTCCTGAGAATCTTTAGTAATTTCGATTCAAGTTCCATTTGCAAAGTACCATGCCCTCACACAAAGGGTCATACAAACTCCCCAGTATCTCAAAACTCCCACTTGGGACATCAGCCTTTCTCATTGGACAAGCCCATCTTGAGAGGCAGGAATCTTCTGAGACATTAAAGGCCCCACACTAGGGACCTGCCCAGAGTCGGTGGTTCGGTTTTGAGAAGATGTGAGCTACAACGCTCCAGGACATCCTAAGCTCGTGCCAGGCTTCGGCCTTGACTTTTCCATTCACCAAGATTCTCTGACTCAAAACTGGTTCTTTTTCATCAACCAACTTCAGCAAAGATCAACTTGAACCTTTGGAGTGCATCAAGCCTTTCTTTCAGACAGACGAGACGTGCAAGTATTCAAACTTAGTCTTATTAATTGATACATTAGGTATCATTTGGACCTTTTTACAAAGGTGTGTTTGAACTAAGAATCTGATGTTTCCTCCAGGCTGTAAATCTGCTGAATATCAAATGGTACCATAGTTTCATATTCTTATTTCTCTTCTCTTTACTGCGTTAAGCTTTAACCCTTTCCTATACAAACTATGCGTGTGTGTGTGTGTGTGTGTGTGTGTGTGTGTGACACCTGTTGTCCGTCACAGCGCCATCATCAGGTGCAGAGTAATTCTGCTCCAGCTCTTCCTGCAGCGGCATCAGATGCGTGACTGTACTGCACTGGACACTCGTTCAGTAAATCACACATGATAAACCCTGATAACACACGCAGATGAAGACGAATGATGCCTCATCATCTGGACAGGTCAAATATCAGTGGGTCTGACAGCTGGAGATGCATTTATTGACAGATATTGATTGTAGTACAGTTGCATCCACAGGTTATGAGGTTAAATATCAGATCAGATGATGTATAAACCGCTGCTTAAACGACCGGACCACAGCAGAATAAATCCTCATCATTTTCTGCAGTCCATTTGCAGATTGCATGTATAAATGAAAAAGTGTTTCCGAATGAAATTGCCTTCATCTTGCATTATGTCATTACTTTGGCTTCCGTTCACTAGATTTTAATTTTGCATTTATGATTTAATTTTCATCTGCTTCAAGGTACTTTAAGTTGGATATATGAATGTGTTTGTCATGCATGATATGTCACTTTGACACATTTGTTTTTCATTTTATGCTTGCTTTTTTTCATTAGACGCATTTCAGTATTAAATTAAAAGGCCTTCGGTGGACAAAAGCCTCCCTGGACGCTGGTGGACAAGGTAAATATTGAGTCTTTCTCCCTGATTCTCCGGTCAGACGTCACGCTTTCTTATCCTGACAGGTGCTTTGCTTTTAGCTTTGCCATGTTACGCTGATATTTATCCCTGATATGAACAAGTTTAATTATATTTGATGCTGGTCCAGAGCCGAAGAGACGTCAGACGTGTGTGTGATCCTGAGGGACGTGAACTCAGCCTGAGCTCCAGCGCTGATGGCTTTAATCACATCTGGATGCGTCTCAGCAGAAAACATGGAGTTTGTGCATGATTCAGTGCGTGTCTGTCCATCAAAGATGTGTCGAGATCCATCTGTGATTATAATTACAGCCATATCAAAAATGAACATTCACCTCCTCAGAATCAGGTTTTTAGAGACTAATTAAAGACAGAGACGGAGAGTTTTCCCACTTGTGCTCTGGTTATTGAAGATGAGACGCTTGTAATCGTGGGATTGCTGCAGATGAACATCCTTCTGAGCTCTAGATCCAGATTCATTAAATCACTCTCAGTCTGAAAGCTCTAATGCTCATTCAATTAAAGCATGGTAATCGTACGTCCAGATGCCTGATGGGAAGCTACTTTCCTTCGGTCGCTCGCTGGGGGTTTGTAGCATTAGAACCAATGCTCTCGCAAACAAAGTGTAAATATCACCTCTCCTCGTTCTTCTCTGCATTTCACTCATACTAAATCGAGTTTTCTGATAAACGTGGCTCTGTATGCTGGGAATATTGTTGGCTCTGATGAATTGCTACTCTATTGCAAGTTGTTTTGGATAAATCATCTGCAAAATGCTTGAATGTAAGTGTAGCTGATCAGTTGCTCTGGATCCGTGTGTCCAGTTGTTTCTACACAAGCTTAGTTCGAATGGTCAGTTTTCTATGGAAGCCTGTTTCATGGAATAAAAAAATAACCTTATCTTACAAGGTGGACTATGTTTTTGACTTTATAGCTTGCAATTCTGAGTTTATATGAGCAGTTCTGACTTCTATTCTCAGAATTGCAAGAACAAACTCAGAATTTTGAGATTAGAAAGTTGCAAGTACAACAAGCTTCCGTAGTTATCTCTATTTCAGCTAAAAGGGATAGCTTACCCAAAAATGAAAATCCTGTTATGATTTACTCACCCTGGTTTGGTGAGTTGCTGGTCTCCATTGAGTTCCATAGTATGGAGAAAAAAGATCTATGGAAGTCAATGGGCACCAGAAATTGTTTGGTTCCCCACATTCTTCAAAATATCTTCTTTTGTGCTCAACAGAAGAAATAAACTCATACAGGTTTGAGGGTGAGTAAATGATGACAGAGTTTTCATTTTTGGGTGAACTATCCGTTTTACTAGTGTCATGGTGGAGCATTAGTTTGAAGAGAATCTTGTTAGTTGAATTATCTGTATAATTAATAAGACATCTGGTTCAAAGTAACAGACGCTTGACGTACGTTAGTGTTTGAGGAGTTACTGATGCTCTTGTGTTTCTGGTCTCAGGTTGAGAAGAATGAAGAGGCCGATCAGGAGATCAAGCAGGATGGAACCAAACCGGAGGAGAACGCCCACAAGGCTGCCACCAAGATCCAGGCCAGCTTCCGCGGACACATCACCCGGAAAAAGATGAAGGACGGAGAGAAAGACGAGGAGAACGACGCCGCTCCGGACGAGTCCGCCGAGGCCGAGGAGGAGAAGAAGGAGCGAGTCTCTCCATCGGAAGAGAAACCTGCTGAGGTTTCCACGGAAACAGCAGAAGAGAGCAAACCGGCCGAGCAGCCCAACTCGCCAGCCGCAGAAGCCCCGCCCACCGCTGCCACTGACTCCGCCCCCTCGGACACGCCCACTAAAGAGGAGGCGCAGGAGCAGCTGCAGGAGGCGGAGAATCCAAAAGAGGTGGAGAACACGGCAGCCGAGAACCCCGCCCACGATGTAAACGCACAGGAGGAGGAGAAGAAAGAGGAGGAGAAGAAGGAGGAAGCCAAACAAGCCGATGTGCCTGACGCTGCAGAGAGCCAGGAGGCAGACCAAATAGACAAAAAAGGTGCGTCAGAAAAACACAGACACTCAGTTTGAGCTCTGAGATAGTCAGTGTGAGTGTGGAGAGTTTATCTCGTGGCGTGTACGGCCTTCAACCTTTCAGTCAACACTTTTCTAAGTGTGAAGACCACTTAAAAATCTAAAGAACCTTTTTCCACTATAAAGAACCAGTGCCCATAAATAACCTTTCAACAGTTCTTAAAAGAACAAATTTTTCTTGGTTGGAACAAAATTTTAATAAATTAAAAACCAAGCTTTTAGAGTATGAAAGAACCTTTGAAATTCTTAGCAATTTCAATTACACATGAACCACACCATCATACTGATGAGACATTTATTTGATTTATCATTTTATGAAATTTATAACAACATAATAATCTGAGAAGTATTAACCCTATTGGAATGAATGGAATTTATAATTCATGGTTTCTAAAAACTGTGCAAATTTATGAAACCTACATATTTGTTTCTAACAGAACAACATCAGAACAACTAATATTATTCTGAAAGGTTTTCAGTCAAAATAAACTCATTTTACTCTCTGTATAAACTTTCACTTTCAGATAAAAAAAGTGATCAACCATATTGCAATGGTTCATCAATAGACGTACATATTCATGTTCATCAACAACATTTTCCAAAAGTGTGTGAGATATGGGGAAAATGCCAATTATATAGTTTATAATAGTGTTTTGGCACTAATATATATTAATAGATAATTTTACAAAAAGTAGTTTTGACACCCAATGGTGACCCGAACACAAAACGTTTAACACTGTTAAACATTTTCAAAAAAAAAGTTTCTAATATTTTCTTTCATAGTAAAGGAACTAATTTTAAACAAAATGTCAAACATTTTGTGTTCGGGTCATTTTGGACCTTGAAGAGATGCATCAAAATTTCCAAAAAATGTTAAGGGAATAAAATGTACGTATCTCTTCTGGGTCAAAACTAGGGCTGTGCGCGCAGGAGCAGCTGCAGGAGGCGGAGAATCCAAAAGAGGTGGAGAACACGGCAGCCGAGAACCCCGCCCACGATGTAAACGCACAGGAGGAGGAGAAGAAAGAGGAGGAGAAGAAGGAGGAAGCCAAACAAGCCGATGTGCCTGACGCTGCAGAGAGCCAGGAGGCAGACCAAATAGACAAAAAAGGTGCGTCAGAAAAACACAGACACTCAGTTTGAGCTCTGAGATAGTCAGTGTGAGTGTGGAGAGTTTATCTCGTGGCGTGTACGGCCTTCAACCTTTCAGTCAACACTTTTCTAAGTGTGAAGACCACTTAAAAATCTAAAGAACCTTTTTCCACTATAAAGAACCTTAAAGGTTCTTCATGGAACCATCAGTGCCCATAAATAACCTTTCAACAGTTCTTAAAAGAACAAATTTTTCTTGGTTGGAACAAAATTTTAATAAATTAAAAACCAAGCTTTTAGAGTATGAAAGAACCTTTGAAATTCTTAGCAATTTCAATTACACATGAACCACACCATCATACTGATGAGACATTTATTTGATTTATCATTTTATGAAATTTATAACAACATAATAATCTGAGAAGTATTAACCCTATTGGAATGAATGGAATTTATAATTCATGGTTTCTAAAAACTGTGCAAATTTATGAAACCTACATATTTGTTTCTAACAGAACAACATCAGAACAACTAATATTATTCTGAAAGGTTTTCAGTCAAAATAAACTCATTTTACTCTCTGTATAAACTTTCACTTTCAGATAAAAAAAGTGATCAACCATATTGCAATGGTTCATCAATAGACGTACATATTCATGTTCATCAACAACATTTTCCAAAAGTGTGTGAGATATGGGGAAAATGCCAATTATATAGTTTATAATAGTGTTTTGGCACTAATATATATTAATAGATAATTTTACAAAAAGTAGTTTTGACACCCAATGGTGACCCGAACACAAAACGTTTAACACTGTTAAACATTTTCAAAAAAAAAGTTTCTAATATTTTCTTTCATAGTAAAGGAACTAATTTTAAACAAAATGTCAAACATTTTGTGTTCGGGTCATTTTGGACCTTGAAGAGATGCATCAAAATTTCCAAAAAATGTTAAGGGAATAAAATGTACGTATCTCTTCTGGGTCAAAACTAGGGCTGTGCAAAAAATCGAATGCGATTTTCATGCGCGTCTCGTCAGTAAAGCCGCTTCTGGTGATCAGTAGTAAATCTCCAGCACGTGCTTTCAGATGGAGTGGCATTTACTACACAGAGCCGTAGTTCACCGTTGCTGCTAACTCAACTACACCCTCATAACACATTCAAGTCTGTTTTGACTAGGGCTGTGCAAAAAATCAAATGCGATTTTCAATCACTGACAAGCTACACAAAATCGCGTTCAAAATCGCAGGTGATTCATTGTGAACTACGGCTCTGTGTAGTAAATGCCGCTCCATCTGAAAGCACGTGCTGACGAGATGCGCATGAAAATCTCATTCGATTTTTTGCACAGCCCTAGTCAAAACAGTCTTGAATGTGTTATGAGGGTGTAGTTGAGTTAGCAGCAACGGTACAATAAACATATGTATATAAAAACTGAAAGAAGTTTGACAGAAAATCCAAGCGGCTGTCCATTTATCTGAAAGTGAGAGTCATGAATCCATTTCCGGTGGAGAGCTGCGGTTTGCCTGAAAGCTGTTCATTGAGATGCATTCATGAGAGCAAGTGTTTCAGTAATGCACATTATCTGGTCCACTCGTGGTCCATCAGCGGTCTGTAAGAGTGTGGGGAACTGAAGCTGTTTCTTGTGGTGTTTGCAGAGGCCGTCGAAGACTCCAAACCAGCAGAGGAGGCCGTTTCAGACGAGAATGTTTAACAGATGACCAGTGAAATGTAAAATCCTAAGTAACCGACAGACTGCTCTTGATGATGAAGACGGTCTGTTTTTATGTTTGTCCTCTCTTTTCTGGTGTGGCAATGATTTTCTGAGGTGTGGAGGGAGTTTTCCAGTGCGGATCGATCTCTTCATCCATCCGTCTGAAGCTCATCGCATGAGAATCTTTCCTCCAGAGACGAGAACCTTCTCACACGCACCCAACTAATACATGTGGCTTCTTTTAGTGTCCTTGGTGTTGTTATGAGCGTTTAATTGGAGATATTGCTGCACTGATGTTAAAAATCGAGAAAATCCAACAAAAAGAAAATGCGCCAGCCTTTCTGTTCAAGTGAGTTTGAATCTAAGGAGTAAAATCGTGGAAAATGGTTTCATGTCTGTTTTCAAAATAAAGAAATGTGCCAATTACGTTCACGACGTGCTTCGTTCTTTCAGCCTGTGGGTTTGTCTGACCTCATTTATTTCTATAAAATCCAGATTGTTTACTAAACAGGGAAGTATTTATTTCGTCAAATATGAGACAATTCAGATTCTCTTAAAAAAAACGACAGCAGTGTCATTATTCAGCTCCACTCAGTTCACTGTTGATTCAGGTCAGTTCAATAACTAAAGTTCATCAATTGTTAAACGAATTTCCGCTATAAGCAGCTCTAGTTTGTCTAAGGATCTGCTCTCATTTAGATTATGTTCTGATGAGTAATTACATAAGCGCAGGATCATAATTAATGTCAGACGTGCGATCATATCATCAATATTAATTATAACCTGTGTGAGCTGAATGATTCTGTTTAATGGTTCAACCAGAAATCCAGTTTTAGGTTCCATAGTAAGTTTGAATTCAACATGCCGTAATGTCTGTTTTGTATTTTATTTCATTATTGCAGACGTTATTACAGTTTTTCACATTTGCTAAGACACTAAACCCCATTCTCTGAACCACATTTTCAACAGCCTATTTGTCAAATAAATCACTTTCTGCAAAACCTTAAACAAGTTCAGGCAGTTTAGACACTGTTTGCAGATCTCATGCACTCTTTTAGCAAAACTCTAAACACATTCTCACTCACTAAAACACAATTCGCACTGTGATGAAGTTGTGATGCAAAACCCTAAACACAAGAAAGCTAAATTTAAGCACAACTGCAACACGGCTATCATCGTTTATACACAATTCACGAGTTCACACTTACATATAATAAACAGAGTAAAGGTTATGCGTATTTGGCATGCTGTCCGAGGGGAGGGCTCCGAGCTCGGAATTTTTGGCCCGAACCCAGAATACCCCCCCCTACAGGTTAGGACAGGAATAGTTGTAAGTGCGGAGAAGTGGTGGCGGAGGGATGCTGGAAAACTGTCAAGGAACAGAGGTAAGTCTGCTGTGTATATATACACACCTCTTATCTTGTTAATTGGGTTGATTACTGATTGTGCACCTCTCGTGTTAATTAGGTTAATTATCTGAACGTGCTCCTCCCGAACTTTGTTAATAAAATATAATTTCACGAGTTCACACTTACATATAATAAACAGAGTAAATGTTATGTGTATTTGGAGTGCTGTCCGAAGGGAGGGCTCCAAGCTCAGAATTTTGGCCTGAACCCAGAGTACCCCCAAAAAGCAACAGAGCAAATGACAGCCGCCCGATTAATAACCCTCCTAAAATGATTGCCGAAAATTTGGTGGGCTGGTGTTTCAGGAAGAAACTTAGTCTTCTGACCAGGAGGGCCCACACAGACTCCGACGGAAGCAGCTCACAGCGCCGGGTGGACAGGCCCTACCAGCCGATGGTAGGGAACAGCGTGATTTGGGGCGCTCAATCGGGTGGGCTCACACCGCTTCTTGAGGGGAGCAGCTCGTGGCGTCAGACCGGTGAGTCTTACCAACCGATAAAGTAGGAGCAGTGTGTTTGGCAAACCGACCAGCGTGTTTGGGCCCCACTAGACGATGAACGAGGAGCAGCGTGATTTGGGAAGCCTGATCAGGAGTGCTCACACCGCTTCTTGATGGGAGCAGGTCACAGCGTCGGACAGGTGAGCCCTACTGGTCGATGATGGAGTGGACGAGGCTTGAATCAGCTGACCGGGAAGGTCCACGTAGCTTTAACGGGAGCAACTCATGGCGTCAGATGGTTGGACTTTACCGGCCGATGGATGGGTTGATGTGTTTTTAATGTGGGACCGATTGGTCCTGATGTAGCTTTTGAAAGCATCTGAAGACCATTACCCGAGAGCTTGGATTTGATGCTTGGATTTGAGAGGCTGGAGCAGTTATCCACCTGATTGTTGAAGAATGGATTTGAGATGTTTTCGGAACCAAAAGCGAGATACGGGTTTGTTGGAGTCATCAAGAAATAGGGGTTCAATAGGGGATTTTGCCTGGGAGTTCCTGGATTGGATGTACGTGAGGACAGTTTGGTAGGGTTGGATTGGTGACAGAAGATTGAAAATATCGATAAAATGGCCTTTCATGGCTTGGGCCATCTTGCTTTGTTTAATCAAAAAGGAAATAGTTTCACTGTCGAGGAAGGATGAGTCGAAGATGTTGTGGTGGATTTTTGGATTGAAATTAGAAGTGATGGCGAGTTCAGAACATCTGAGAAAACCAAAAAAAGACAAAATAAACATAGCGTCGAGTGTGCGGGTGGTATTGATGGACTGGTAGCCTGAACGGAGGGTATGAATACATTTTGTGAGAATGTCTAGCGTTATTGGTTGTCTGATGTCGGGGCGGGTGGGCTGGGATCCCTTTGATCAAGAGGGAGATTTGGGAGTCGTTTATTTCAGGGGAGGAAGTGCCAAAAATCAGTTTGTGAAAAAATTGGATGCCGCTCAGGTACCCTTTGATGGACCCAACTTGGAGGCCCTTAACGCTGTTGAGGTAGGAGACAAATGAGGAGATTGAGAGGAGAGAGAAATCAGGAAACGACAGGTTATATGAAAGGTGGAATGCTTTAAAACACCTCCACGCTGTCACGTAAGACTGGAGGGTTCTGGGAGACACTGCTTGGAGGATGGTGTTGAGAAGGGGTTTTAATGGGTGGGTTACGGAAATATTAGTTCTGAATAGTGAGGCACTGGAGTTGGGAATTGGTCCACATCTGGAGCCAGTGTCCTGAATTTCTGAAACAGAAAATGAGAAAGAGTGTCTTTTTGAGAGGCGATTCGATTTTCTGACCCGGGAACATGTTTGACAATTATGATAAATTGGTCACCTGAGATCCAGGTGAGGCGTCTTAAAAGAGGCATCAGAGTGTGTGAATGAGAACGGCCTTTATTAATGCACTGGACTGTTGCTTCATTGTCACAATGCACTAAAATACTGTTAGCAGTCCATTCTTTCCCCCACAGGAAGGCTGCTACTACGACAGGGTAAAGCTCAAACAGCGCTGAGGACTGTGGTGTGTCCTGAAGCTGGGGGGGCCATGGGGATGCGAACCAGCGCCTTTGATAAAAGCCCCTGAAGCCGACTGAGGGTGCTGCATATGTGAACAGTTGAATGTCAACGGGAGAAGATGCAAGATTGTTGTAGAAAAAGGATTAGCCGTTCCACTGTTTTAGGAATGTTATCCATAATGAGAGTTCATTGTGACAAGGCTGAGTTATGGAAATTCTTTCCTCTAGCACGTAAACCAAGGATGTGAGGGAGAGATGCTGCCAAATAAAAAGGGCAGCCCTGAGGGATAATACACATGGCAAAGTTTAGGTAGCCAAGCAAGGATAGGAGTTCACGTTTTCAACAGCTTGAGTAGTCTGAGAGGGTGGATGCTATGAAGATTATCCTGTCGATTTTTTCCTTGGGCAGAGAAGCCTGGAATTTGACTGAGTCTAAATTGATGCCCAGGAACTCGATGGAAGTGACAGGACCCATGGTTTTTTCCTGGGCAATGGGGATTCCAAGCTTGGAAAACTTTTTGAACTGTAAGGATATGCACAGCTGGAATAGCGTCGGGAAGCGAGATGATTAGAAAGTCATCGAGTAAGTGAATGAGGTGAGGAATTGCGTAATTGTTTGATAAAATCCAACAAACGGCCTCTGATAGCATGTCTTCTTGGGGCTACTTTTGCAACAAAGTTAAACGTACAGCAAAATAGAATTTCCCGTGTCAGCGTACCCCGAAAAATTGCCATGAATCCGGATGGATGGGCATCACTTTGAATGCTGAGGTGATGTCGATTTTTGCCATCCAAGTGCCGTGACCCACTATTTTTAACATATCGATTGCATGATAAATATTGTGGTATTTGAGAGAAAATTCGTTGAGAGGAATCAAGCTGTTTATGCTTGGGAACGGGGAATTATGAGCTGACAGGTCGATTATGAGGCGTTTCTTACCTGAAAATTTTCTGGTGGCTACTCCAATAAGGCTGATTCGGAAAACTGGAAAGAGGGAAGCGTTGAAAGGGCCGATCATGAAGCCTGAATCTACTTCTTTTTTTAATCAGATTATCTACGACATCGGGCTCTGCGAGAGTGGATTGGAGATTGTTACAGGTAATGCTTTCAGAAAGTGGGCATTCTACGCCGGGTTTAAAACCGTGTTTGAGGCTGGACAGCAGTTAATTAGTGAATTCTGTGTCTGGGTTGTTACATAGTTCGATAGATAGGTGAGAAATATTCACAGGAGACGATAAGTAGTTTTTTTTAGCCGATTACCTTACAGGACATACATGACGTGCATGAGCACCACCACTGAAACTGCAGATATGAAGATACCGGCAATGCTGTTTGGAGCATTTGCCGAGGTTGAAATGGTTGCAGGGCTGCCTGCTGTAGGTAGAAGGAGCATTCCTTCTAAAATCCAGATGTGACTGGGCAGGGGGGAATAGAGGGCATTTGTGGGCATAGCATAGTGGAATGAGCCACCAACTGACCTGCAGACCACGCATGAGATGTTTCTGCAGCCTATAAACAATCTGCTGTGAAGGTCGGGCATTGGTTCCACTGGGAGACCCGTACTGCGCATTTTGCAGAGAAGAGCTTGAGGTAGGTGTAGAAATGCCCTCCTTCGTAGGATGATGCGAGCTCAACTATTAGCGCCAAATAATCGTTTAGTTCATGCCGCCTATGGGGGAAGGCTGAGCAGATTATTTCAGTTTACCGGCTGAACGCAATTGTGAATTCGGAAATAAACAATATGTGGGATGATAGTGGGTTTTGGCTTTTTCGAGTTACTGAAAAGTCTCTGCAGTCCAGATTAGATTTGGTTAGATTCAGGTGCAGGAATCAAAGAAAGTAGCTGCTAGGATCTGTGCTCGGATGTTGTGAGCCACTGGTGGGGGCTCCGAGGCAACAGCATTTGATGGGATGGGCAGAGGTGTTGCTGTGTATAGAGAATATTGTGATTTTGAGTGCAGTATAGAGGAGTAAGGGAGAGGATGAGTAGCCGCGATTGTCGGTGGAGG